CACGTGAAAAAAAAGGGGTCCAAACTTGTTTTTTCTACTAAAAAAATGAGCTTTTTTCCAACTCTGGTCTGGTTTGTTTTAGACTATCTAAGAAAGGCCTTCTGGGTATTCTGCATCCCGACCTGTATCGTAACCATTAAAAGTCGAATTTGAAAAACCTGGAGACTCAACTTATTCACTTAATTTGACCAGGATCAAAACAAACGTTATATTTTCTGAACTGTGGTCGTTTTTTAGTTTGTGGGTTGTGTTGCTGCTTTTTCTTAGCCTTGATAAAAACAGGGTCTGGGTTGAAACATCCATCTATTTTCTGTAGAGCTGATTCCCTGCAGGGAGCCTCACACTCACTTCAACGAGAAATTCAGAAGCTCCACTTCACCTGAAAGACGAACAAACAAAACTTTACTGTCTATAAGAAATCGGAAGACAAACGATGTCCTAACCCTGTCCCTGACCCTATGACCCTAACCCTGACCATAACCCTTCATAATTGTGAGAAATAAATATTTTTTGGTTAAACTTGTTTGGACTTATTGTACAAACCTATTTAACATCCACTATTTTAACATAATATTATGTATAGAGTTTAATTCAGTGTTTGCAAGATTCATTTCACTATTTTTAAATTAATATCTATATTGCCATGAAGCAATTAGGATTTTCTTGCCTGGGATCTTCTTATCGGTGACCTAATAAAAATGGACGACTTGGATGTAGTGGAGTTGGACATCCATCCCTAGCCTCCTGCAGTCTGCAGCCAGACAGACTCTAACCATCAAAAGCAGGTCGTAGCTTTTACCCTCCAGAAGCCGACGGGATAGATGAGCTTGCCCAGCGTTTGGTCGTCGGTGGCCAGCAGGTTTTCGGGGGTGCAGCCGTGAGCCCGCAGCCTCATCATGGCCGCGCCCGTCACCTGGTCCTTCGTCTGACTGGACAGCATGAGGGACACCAGCACCTGAAACCGCCTCACCTGCGAAAACAGCAGAGGGGGACAGAGTTTGGCTGTAATTACTAGCTTTAGCATTGATGATAAATGTAATATTGTGTCTACTCTGTAAGTCGCTTTGGATAAAAGCGTCTGCCACATGCATAAACATAAACATAAACATAAACATTGTATGCTATGACAGGGAGGTCCCCCTAGGGGGTCCTGGAGGTACTGCATAGGGGTCA